GCCCACTAAATGACTCTTAGTAAAGGATTATTATGTATTACTTCATGATTTCCACTTCCTATTATCACTGCCTCATTACTTAAAAGTGATTGTATAAAGAATGACATTTTATTTAGTAGATTTGCTACAACTAAATACTCCTTTATAATTCATCAACTGATTTATTCGTGTTCTCAAGCATATACAGGTTGCCATTATTTCCTACTTTTATTTCAGCATTGTTACCTAGTCTATAAGAAGGATTGGATGCACCAGAGATTGTTATATTAAATTTTTCATTAGTAGACTCACCTCTTAATGAAGGTGATAGAAAACTAAACGTAACATTCTTTATTGTATGAGCCATATTTCCATAGCCAGCATACCAATAATCGATATCTTTAATATCAACGCTTGCTAAGTCAAAAATAGTATAGTTAAATAAAAAATTATGCTTTCTTCCCTGTGCAAAAGTGTAGTCATATTCAATATTGATATTGGCTTTCCCCTTATCAGAAGGAATAATGTAATCAAAAATTCCGTGACGTGATTGGTCTAAGTTATCTATTTTAGTGCTAGGTCTTACTACTATTTCCTTCCTAACAGCACTATAACAATATGGTATAATGATATGATCAGGATTATCGTTACTTCTGCCACCTTGACCGTCTACATATCTTATATCACACCCACAGTCTATTATATCCTGTTTTCCTTTCCTACCATAAATTCTATGCATATTCTTTATTGTAACACTACTAGAAGGTGAGGATATTAAACCATAATGCTTAAATGGATTAAAATTAACATTTATATAATCTTTATCTAAAGCAAATCCTGCTAAGTTTAATGTGTTATTTCCATCGCCCCATCTATGTTCCTATAGTCTTGTTACCCACGAGGATAAAAACGTCATCTTTATCACCTCCAGTCAACTCCTTATTTCCATCATCTACTAAGAAAATATTAGGACTATCCCTAAATCCTGTTGCTCTATCTCGACCTTTTCCCAAAGCATTAAAGTACTATTTCCGGTCCTATCAGCTAAATAAAATAGACCTATTGCATTATAACAAAGATAAGCATTTCACCTCCAACTTCAGGACGTATTGGACCAGTCGGAAGACAGAATAACTTACCTACATTTGGATTATCTGGTTTTGCTCTATGCCAAATAACATGATCTACTGTATTGTCAAGAAGTGCTAGATTATCTAAATCCATTTGGAGCTTATGTGATACTTCTTGGTCAGAATCTATAACTAACTCACCAGTGGGGAAACATACCCTTGAATATCACTATATTGTTTTAAGTACTCAAGCCCTTGATTAACTAGTGGTTATTAACCTGTTTCTTTTCGATCAATTCTTCTATATACTGTTTCAGGTTGCATACCTATAAATGTACGTAACTCTTCAATAAGTTTTTCATTTCTTTGAGATGAATAATCTGATCAATTTTATCAACTCTCTTCACTGCCGTATAAATATCAGTGCCAACAAATACTACAGCGCTAACTGCAGCTCCAATAGGACCAGTGACAGATGATACTCCTTCTAGTGCTTCAAAAGCTTCAGCAACTTCTATGCCAATCTCTGCAGCATCAACTCCAAGTAAATACTATCTCCTACTACGCCAACCAATGCTTCCCCAGTACCATTTTTAAATGCTTTTACCTGATTTACTAGATCATAGATAACAAAGGCAGAAGTACCACGAGCAAGAAAAGGAGATGCTGCTCTTAAAGAACTGCCAACTAATAACTTTCCTTCTGTAGCTAATTTTAATCCTTTAAGAGAGCAGCTTCAGCGATTTTAGCAAATCCTTGACCACCGGCTATAAAACCAACATTTACTGCTACACCTTGATAATCTCCATTTAAAAAGTCAGCTAATACATTTTTAACCATCATTCCATGCATAGTCATACCTGAGATTCTTCCAACTCTACTCAATGACTCATAACTTTTTGATTACCAATTAGTTTATTAACCAAGATTTGAGATTTGCCTGTAACTTGAGCTTCATCTGCTAGCTGAATTAGCTGACTTTGCTTCCCCTCTGGTAAATCTTTAATGTAATTAACAAACTTTTCACTATCTATCCTAATCTTACTAAAATCCCTTCTCTCATCTTCCTCCTCATTAAATTCATCCATATCTTCCCATGTGAATAACATTCACTTTCTGCTTCTCTTTGCTCCTATGACTTCTACCTGGTAAGCATTCCTCTAAAGTTCTTTTCGAACCCTCATGATTTAAACGGCTCTTTTATTTTTGAGATATTGTTCTACATCAAAGTTCTGATGAGCAATTGCCAAGTGTATAGGCAATTTTCCAGCTTCACTAAAGATACTAGGGTCAGCGCCATGCTTCATAGATATTCTACTACACCTAAGTGACCATTTGTAGCAGCTAAGTGTAGAGGTGTATAACCATTGCGTTCTTTGAGGTTAACTTCAGCCCCGTTCTTTACAAGATATTTTACTACATCTGAGTAACCACTTAAAGCAGCCCAGTGTAGAGGTGTATAATCATTGCGGTCTTTGGGGTTAACTTCAGCCCCGTTCTTTATAAGATATTTTACTACATCTGAGTAACCACTTAAAGCAGCCCGTGTAGAGATGTAGAACCATCGCGGTCTCTGAGGTTAACTCCAGCCCCGTTCTTTACAAGATATTCTACTACACCTGAGTAACCATTTGAAGCAGCCCAGTGTAGAGGTGTAGAATAATTATTATCTTCGGAATCAACTTTAGCCCCTTTCTCTACAAGATATTCTACTATATCTGAGTAACCATCTAAAGCAGCTAAGTGTAGAGGTGTAGAATAATTATTATCTCCGGAATCAACTTTAGCCCCGTTCTTTACAGATATTCTACTACATCTGAGTAACCATTTGAAGCAGCCCAGTGTAGAGGTGTATAACCATTGCGGTCTCTGAGGTTAACTCCAGCCCCGTTCTTTACAAGATGTTTTACTATATCTGAGTAACCACTTAAAGCAGCCCAGTGTAGAGGTGTAGAATCATCGCGGTCTTTGAGGTTAACTTCAGTCCCTTTCTTTATAAGATATTCTACTATATCTGAGTAACCATCTAAAGCAGCTAAGTGTAGAGGTGTAGAATAATTATTATTTTCGGAATCAACTTTAGCCCCATTCTCTACAAGATATTCTACTACACCTGAGTAACCATTTGAAGCAGCTAAGTGTAGAGGTGTATAACCATTGTGGTCTTTGAGGTTAACTTTAGCCCCGTTCTTTACAAGATATTCTACTATATCTGAGTAACCACTTGAAGCAGCCCAGTGTAGAGGTGTATAACCATTGTGGTCTCTGAGGTTAACTTCAGTCCCTTTCTTTATAAGATATTCTACTACATCTAAGCAACCATTTGAAGCAGCTAAGTGTAGAGATGTAGAATAATTATCATCTTCGGAATCGACTTTAGCCTTTTCCTTTGCAAGATATTCTACTACACCTGAGTGACCATTTGAAGTAGCTAAGTATAGAGGTGTATAACCATTGCGGTCTTTGAGGTTAACTCCAGCCCCTTTCTCTACAAGATATTCTACTACATCTGAGTAACCATTTGAAGCAGCTAAGTGTAGAGGTGTACAACATTGCGGTCTTTGAGGTTAACTCCAGCCCATTCTCTACAAGATATTCTACTATATCTGAGTAACCATTTGAAGCAGCTAAGTGTAGAGGTGTATGACCAGCGAGGTCTTTGAGGTTAATTCTAGCCCTTTCTCTACAAGATATTCTACCACATCTGAGTAACCATTTGAAGCAGCCCAGTGTAGAGGTGTATAACCATTGCGGTCTTTGGAGTTAACTCCAGCCCCATTCTCTACAAGATATTCTACTATCTTTAAGTGATCATTTGAAGCAGCCCAGTGTAGAGGTGTATAACCATTGCGTCTTTGGAGTTAACTCCAGCCCCATTCTCTACAAGATATTCTACTATCTTTAAGTGATCATTTGAAGCAGCCCAGTGTAGAGGTGTACAACCATTGCGGTCTTTGAGGTTAACTCCAGCCCATTCTCTACAAGATATTCTACTATATCTGAGTAACCATTTGAAGCAGCTAAGTGTAGAGGTGTAGAATCATGCGGTCTTTGAGGTTAACTTTAGCCCCATTCTCTACAAGATATTCTACTACATCTGAGTAACCATTTAAAGCAGCTAAATGTAGAGAAGCCATACCGTCTTCACTAACAGAATTTAAATCAAAACTTTCTTGTCGGCAAGATATTGTATTATATCCAATTGTCCATGTGAAACAGCAGAATGTAAAGATTTCCTGTAGATTTTATAAGAACCTCCAAAATTTGCACCACTTTCTATAAGCAAATCTAATATCCTTAAGCTACCAACTTCAACCGCAAGAAAAACGGGAGCATGATTACTGTCAGCATTAGTATTAACAACTTCAAGGAGTTTATCTCTATGATTAGTCTTTATAGATTTAAGTATATTATCAATTGCTTGCTCTTCGCAATCCTGAATAAGTAAATCTAAGGGAGTATCATAGTAACTACCATATCTAGAATTAAAGTAAAAATTATTAATTAAATCATCATTTACTTGCATATTTCCAAATAGATGTAACTTGAGTTATACTATCTTCATCCATTTCACTCTTGTTAATGCTAGAACTTTTTTGAGAACTCCTGCTTCTCTTGCTTCCTTTACTAATTTTAACCTTGTTACTTCTTGTACTAATCTATGAATCTTCAGGAATAATTGCCCTTCTACTACACTCACCATTGAATACCGCTCTACTAACTGAATGGCATAAAATACTTTTTCTTCATCACCAGCTATTAATTCTAACAACATTTTTACAGGAATCCTATCAGGAGAAAATATGCAATGATTTCTAAGAGCTCTTTAGCTTGTTGACCACATTTTCATCTTGACCTATCTTGTCAATAGTAATTTCCCAAGTTGTAAGGGTAGTCTTAGTATATAAGTTATTACTATCTTCAAGAAATTTAAAGTCAAGCAACTCTTGTTTTTTTTTCTCATAAATTTTTAAGTAATCATCAATACTAAATCTTTTTCTTGCATTTCCTAGTTTATTAGCCTCTTTAATATACGTTACTGCTTGTCTCAATGCTAAAGGAAGAAATCCCAGAATCTCTGATAATTTTCTTATATTTTCTTTTTGTTCACTATCCTCTATGCCTAAACTATCTTGAATAAATAACTTAGCCTCTTCTAGATCAACACAGGCAATTCTAATAATTCTATGTCTTGTAACAATTCCCGATCACGAGAAGTAATCAAAATATAAAGCTTATTAACAGCATGCATTGAGAAAGATGATGGTAAAACTTACTGAAGCTTTTAGTTTTCTCAGCATTATCAAAGATAATAAGCTCCTCCTCCCATCAAAAAACTTGTACACATCTTCTATAATAGATTTTTTACTCCTTGACTCCCCATCTCCATTTTTTGTAGTAATACCTAATTTATCCCTAGCTAACCTATTAAATGACTCTACAAGAGTTGCCTCACTTTCAGCATTAATCCATAATAATTACCGTCATAATAGCTGTAACAAAGACGAGCATACTCTCTAGCCAACTCACTTTTTCCTACTCCTCCTAAACCAGTATTAAAGCCCCTCCTGCTGTTGCTAATTTTCCCGAACTGTGATTTATTCCTTTATGTAAAGTATCGAGCACGTTTTTTCTTCCAGTGAATAACTTCATTGGTTGCCCTACATCAAACAAAACACTCCCATATGTTTGTTTATTGTTCTGCTGCACTTTCATATCAGAATGGATTACTTCCAACTTGTCTTCTATTCTGTCTACTCCTTCCAACATTCTACCTACTCCTTTACCTAAGGTTTTTAACTCTTGTTGCATGAACTTAAAGTGCTAACTCGTGATTCAAATTCCTTGCAAAAAACTCTTTATGTCTATGTCAGAAAGAAATCTTCCTTCTTTGTCCTTCATCCAGTTTTAGTATTTGTGTTTGAAACTTATTATCAGCATCGATACCTAATTCACCAATATAATCAAACTTTCTACTAAATTCCTCACTTATCTTTTTTTCAAGTATTTTACCAATCTCAACTTCATCAGGCTGACCAACTGCAAATACTAGTTTTTCTAAGAATTCATCTATCCTTCATTTTTTACTTCATCACTCGGCAATACTTGTTCAGTTTTTTTGAAAATAGTGTTTATCCTTTCTATATTCTTCATAATCCTTTTCTCCGCAGGTCTTAAAATCACTGATTTTCAGCTGACATTGTTTAAGAAAAGAAAAAGGTATTCGTCTCTCGAGTAGTGCTTTTTCTAATTTATCCCTAAAATCTTTTAGGCTTTTAGATAATGCGTTGCCTTGATCCTCTTTACCACAATCCAAAACCCTCTCTAAACTTTACCTTACCATCTTGCTCTATTAATACATGCCCTGCCAGTTTATCATATTACCCTTAATAATCTCAGACTGTCTACGAAGAACTATAGTTTCACCTGAAGATATAGAATCAGCAAATTTTTGAGCAAGTTCTTGCACTGGATCGCGAGAGCCTTTTTTAAGAATCTGAAGATTCTCTTCTATCCTAAACATCTTGCCAAAATTCAAAGATTTTTTAAATCCCACCCTGTAGCTCTTTTTAAACTCATCCTCTAACAAATTACTTTCTTTCAATAAATTCTTCTCATTTACTTGCTTCTTCAGATAAATTATCATTATTTACAAAACAAGTGCTAAATTTCTTACCTTTGATATCAATTACTCTCTTTGCTAACGCTCTATGAATTTTTTAAAAACACAATTTTCTTAAATCCATAACCTTATCACTATTTGTTACCACTTTTAAAAACGTACGCAGCTAATTCTTGTCCTAACTCTTTTAAATCTGAAGCGTCTTTCAATAAAGAAACCAAGCTTTCTTTTTCAAGAGAAGTACCTCCTTTAAATTTCAATCTCTTGGCTCTTCCGTTATTACCTTCTTTGTATATCTAAAATATCATTCTTGCCTTTCATCAGTTTCAAAGCTGTCTTGCAAATTTCCATTAAAATCAGCATTCGTACAAATAACAAAGTCTTCTATTCACGATTTTTGCCATTAAATTCTAGCTTTTCCTTGATTTGCGATAGGATATAAAAATTTTTTTTAGACTAAATGGACCAGTTTCTTCTGCAAGTAAATCATTAACAGTAATTTCTTTACTACCATCTTGTTTATGCTTAGCTTGCAAGAAACAAAATACTGAACCATCTTTTTTTTCATTTTTACGCTCAAAAACTAGTCATCAAATTTTTCAGCTATATCCATTTCTGTAGCTAAACGGAACACATATTTTTATCTAATCCTCGCTTTAAAAATAGCATTAGTAACTTAATTGATAGATAATGCCATGCAGACTATTTGTTAAACTACTTTAGAATACTCTTGTTTAGTGCTTTCTTTACCACCGTCAGACCTAAGATATTGGATCTCTTTTCTACCAAGGACTGGTTTCAAAATGATTATTACCCCTATTTATTATGTGTATAGTATATTGATCATCATATTTTACACTATCTGATGAAATGGAAAGAGAACCTGAAGAACTAATAAACTGATGTATATTATCCAATCCATGAAAAGATTTCATACCTTCTAATAGATCAGATGCTTCTTTAGACTGATCGTTTTGTAATTTCGAAGCAAATGTTTCATCAGAATTAAAATCCATTATTATCGAGTTGATGTTTTTACTAAACCCTCTTTCACCATCCAATACTCGTTGCCGCAAATGTAAAAGATATGATACTTCTCAATAACATGAGCTTTACCTGATACGTTTCGCAGAGTATTCTACCTTCAACTTCAGGATCACCCCATCTGTTACTATTGACGATGACACTCGTATAAAATCTAGAGTTTCAGTACGTACTCTGCCAC